GCTCTGTGTTTACTGCTTCATAGCACAGTATGTATAATTAATATACTGAAGCAAACTGAGATGAATGACTTTTATTTTAAAAGTGCATTTTAAGTAGTGTTTTCTCCTGACTGGCATGTGAGTGCAAAATGATTGTCCAATGGACAGATGGATGTTAGAAAACACAAAGAGAGACAGGCATTAACACCATCTGAAAGTGTTGTTCCAGGGTTCTTAGAGGGACCTGGGCACCACGTGGTACACTGTAAGTATTTTGATTAGCTATTATTGCCAAGGTACCAGTGAAGTCTGTAGGTATAACTATAGGGAGCCCTGAAAGTATTCACTTGTGCTGGAAGCTCCTCAAAAGCTATGAGATGCAACATCCATTACCCTACGTACAGGAAAATGTACCTGTTACTACTATTTCTGTTAATTTTTAACATATACATAGCGAGGTACTTCATGGTGACTCAAACAAAAAAGCTAATAACAGATACAGTATATCCAGAAAACAGAAAATATGTCTTCAACCCTCCACAGTCATTCTGTCTCCTGGACACTACACACATATAAATTCCACCCACTGTTCAATTTGACATAACTTTATAGGAATAATAATAATAATAATATATTTAGAAATGTCTATAACTTTAAATTCACACCAAAAGTAATCAAACCAAAAATGTGCAAAACAGTGCAACTAGTGTCCTTTGTACATAAACAGTCCAACATACAGTAGATAGTGAAGAACTTATGTGCAGTTGCTTCCACAAACAGCATGTATGATTCAGCAAGGTGACACTCTTATCCACCACCACCACAGATCATGCGCCTCTTACCAGAGGACGAAACCCCTTAATTATATACTTGTTGCAAATCAATGGGTGAATTGTAAAAGTCAGTGGACTCCCACAAACAGACCCTCTGCTCCTCAAAATGGCTTCACAACATCAACGTAATACATGACCAGATCAAGGGAAAAAAGACAAACTACACATAGCATAGCACTGCAAAAAATGATTTAAGTTTGTTCAGTTTGGCATATACTCACAAAGGTTCACAGTAAACAGTATGTACATTGTATCGTGCTGCTTAGCTTGCATGCCAATGACGTCAGATAACATGCTTCACCCTACGTGTTTCGTCAGAAGTGACCCCTCCAGAGCAAGTCCCAGGGACCCTTCTGCAGCTGCACATTCTATACAAATGGTATGTTCATCCGTACTCAAAAGTTTGGTTTTGGATAAAATCAGTAAGAGTTAAAATTGTCAGGTTTTCATTTATGTCTGTAACTCCACTGGTGAGATTTTTTTTTAACCTAACTTCTGTTCCTGTGGCACCCATATAAGAAATGGGGCAGGTTCAGTGTATCAAGGACAGGAAGGAAGAGACAGTGATAAAAATATTGACAATGTGGACTGAAGCTAAAGGGATGGAAATAGCAATAAAAAAAAGAAACTGGAGGTGGACAGCACCCCTCCCACTTTTACAATTGGATTAAAAAAAAAACATTACATTTTTTTTTGAGCCTAGGTTGAGGATAGCATGGTCCAGCCACCCGCTGCCTCTTGAGATGGGTGGAATTGGGAAAGATGGAGGGAAGGCTATGACAAGTAAGAAGGTTCCCATGTAACAAACAACCAGTGGAATTGGTACCATTTGTATGAAAATCAAAAATATGCAAAATACATGTGAACAAGGTGTCAATTAATTAAAGTGTTTGTTCACCAATGCCAGAAGTCTGCCAAGCAAAATAGGTGTGTTAGAAGCGTTGGTGCATGAAGAGAACTATGATTTAACTGGTATTTGCTGAGTCTTGGCTTCATTGTTCAGTGACTGGGCCATTATTATTCCTGGCTATGTTCTCCTTCGAAGAGACAGAGTAAATAGGAAAGGTGGTGGTGTCTGTCTCTATGTGAGAAGTGATCTCAGAGTGAGTGTGAAAGAGGACCTTGTTGATGGAGAGTGTGATGAGGCTGAAGTATTATGGGTGGAACTGCACATGGGGGTGCGTACTACAAAGGTAATCATTGGATTTTGTTAGAGGCCTCCAGTGTTAATGAGGAGGTGGAGACTCAGCTTCTAGCACAGATCAAAATGGCAGCAAGGGCTGGGACAGTGATAATAATGGGGGATTTTAACTACCCGGAAATTGACTGGAGTAATGGTACTGCAGGAAAAGTTAAAGGGCAAAACATTTAAAACCTACTGTAGCAATCGTGTGCACAGATATGGACGCGGACAACCACGTTGCTAAAGATCCTCCATCTTGTGTCATTCTCACTCCAAATCAGTCCCCCCCCTCCCTTTTTGTTGTATGGTATGTGGTCTGTGTGTGTGCTGAGTTCAGAAGTGCATCGGGCACAACTGGATATACTTCATGGTTGTAAACCCAATTAGCTGGTGCCATAGTGTTTGGCAGACTCTTGCTTGGAGCTCGGAACAGAACAGTGTGAGTACTTCTATACTGTTCTCCCTGGGCCAAAGAAGGGAGAGGGCGGTCAGGTGCAATACCCAACTAATTTTCCCTGGGACTACATTCCTTGTATCCAATAACAGAAATTTGGTTCACCCAAAAATATACACTGAAACAATACTGCAACACCCTAGATGCAAATAGTCACACTTTCTCCCCTGAATGTCCAAAGTCAAAGTAAAAACTTTCTCAGCATCTGTGAAATCCTCAAATCAATACAAATTCGTGCTCCTAATCTATCCACCTTCATGAAAGCATTCCTTCGTAATCCATGTGTACCTCAAAAATAAAAAAACTCTACATAGCGCATTATCCCTATATCATAAAGCGAAAATTAAATCAAAAACCCAGTGTTAATTGTGTGCAAAAACCACCCAATGTCCACTTCTAAACAGCTGTATAAAATACTCTTACCTAAACTTGTGTATAGCTTTAAATCTCATTGCATAACAAAGTTCCACAAGAACCGGTGCTCCAAGGCATCCTTCCCTCCATAGGTTATACCTCTGAAAGAACGTATAATAGTGTAATATCCTTTGATATATATAAATAAGTGCTCCCTCCTTCCACAGCACTAGTGCAATGTGAATCCAGTCTCCACCACCTTCCAAACCATGCACCTTACCGGACTGCACATTTCACAAGCATAAATATTAGTGGCTTTCCTCATCCGACATTACTTCAGCTCTTAATGTCACAAAATTTGCACCTAGCCTAGCAAATATTTTTATGGCAAGATGGGAACTTGTAGAAATGTTTGGGAAGGTATGGAAGGGATTAAAAACATGGAAAAGATTCATAGACGATATCCTAATGATCTGGGAAGGTGATATGGAGTTGTTACAAGTATTTCTGAAGCACACAGAAAATAACCAACATGGACTAGGCTTTTCTCAGAAAATAGATGTTGAATCCGTAAATGTTTTGGATTTGTGTATCTTTAAAGATAAGGATAGACTGTACACTAAAACATATTTCAAAGAGACAGATAGGAATGGATACATTCCTACCTCAAGTTGTCACCATCCACAATGGATTCAGGAAATACAGAAAAGACAATTTAGTCGTATAAGGAGAAATTGTTTGAGACTCTCGGATTACATTGATCAATCTGAAATTATCAAACAAAGATTTATTCAAAAAGGCTATGACCCAGATAGATTGGAGAAATTGAGGTTTGAAATTAGCAAAGAATATATGGAAGATAGTAAGATTAAGACGAAAACGGAAATGAGACCAAAGAAAGGTGGAGTTTGCCTTCATTTCCAACTTCAGTTGCCAATATAAAGAGATGGAGGTGTTTATGAATAAATATTGGACCATAGTAAAAAGGGACAAAATTTTGGGCCCGATGCTACCAAATAAACCAGTGTTTATTTACAGGAAGGTATCGAACCTACGGACTAAGCTAGTAAAAAGTATAATTTCCCCCCCAAGAAACAACCAAATTAAGATGTTCGATCCGAAAGGGCTTTTCTCATGTAAAAAGTGCAATGTCTGTAAAACAACAGGGATGAAAAGTAGGAAAATAGAGAGTTTTAGATCACAGGTAAAGAATAATGAATTTAAGATTGATCAATTTATAATATGTACTACCCCCTTTGTGACCTATTTATTGGAATGCTCATGTAAACTTCAATATGTGGGTAGAACGACTAGACTGTTATACAAAAGACTTAGAGAGCATGTCTCTAATATAAAGAACGGGAAGAAGGACCACAATCTGTCCAGGCATTTTAGAGACGTTCATAAATGTGATCCAGCACAACTGAGATTCTGTGGAATAGATAAAATGGAAAGACACTGGAGGGGAAGTAACAAAACCAAAGAGGTTTCTAGGAATTAAACTTTTTGGATCTTTCAATTGGATACTTTAAAACCCAAAGATCTGAATGTCGATCTGGATCTGAACTGTTTTATTTCAGATGCACAAATCATTTATTCTATAGATATAGGATTACACCGTAGACAGACTGAGTTTTTTTACAGCTTTTTAGTTTCCATCTTTCTTATTCAGTCTTTGGGATCATAGGTGTATCAGTTGAGTTTATAGAAGTGATAGTTTATATTTGTAGAGTTTTAGAAGTGAACCTTGTGGTTATTTTAGTACATGATAATCTATAGTATAGCTTTTCATATAAGACAGGGCTTAAAATTTCAAGTCCAGACCTACTAGCCAGTCACAAACCTTACTCTCCACCAGTTGCCCCACCCATCCTTGCCCAAGTCTGCCTCCAACCCCACCCCCGAACCGTCCCCAAACCCCACCCCCAGCCCTGCCCCCAACCACACCCCCTTAAAGCTTATGAAATTACATTTTTCTTTAGAAAAAAGAGTCCAAAATATGAAAAACTGCAATTATAATGCTAGCTTTATTGTCAATTTAAACATAACAGCAATAGCTTAATAGCAATAGGGTGCAATCAAAATATCACGTTTTACAGCTTTAAACCTGTAGTGAACATTTTGTATTTTTTTTGTTGATCTCCTGCATCTTTAAAAAGAGACTTTAGTAACTAAAGTCTCTTTTACAAGATGTAAGTTTAGTTTACAGAAGTTGATGACAGGACCTCTCCTCGAGTCCCCCGCGGTGGTGGAGAGGGTGTCTCCTCTCAGTGGAGGAGAGTGGACCTCTCCTGCACCTGTCCCCTCAGTGGCGTTGCAGTGTAATGGTGGTGCCGAAGAAGCCAGAAACCGGAAGTTGGAAACCGGAACTCGGCTTCACAATGAGGCTTGGAGCGCAGGTGCAGCTGCTCCATCCATCATCTGTGCTCGCCGCACAGAAATTTCTCCTCCTTTGGCGAGCGGCTTTTACAAGCCCTGATGTAAGACATACAGGTCAGTTATAATATATTTTATCTTTTAGGGTTTTTGACATTTATAGATGGGTTTTTTTATAAAGGACCATATCTAGTGTCTTTTGGATTTTGTAATGTTTTAACTAGAGGTTTTCTAATAGTATATGTATTCTGGCACATTTTGTATTGGGATATTCAGATGAATTGGGTTTCATTTACTTCCCTGTTAGGTTAGAGGTATCTTAGTTTAGTTTGGCACTCTCATTGTAACTTTAGCGGATAGGGATTAACAATTATATGTGTAAAGAATGTATTTAGGTGTTTAATTATAGTATATATCTCTCTCTTTAGATTCATTTAAACAATTATTAATTTTATTATATGGGTTAGATAATTTAATCTCTGTTTATCCTATTATAGATTTATTTAGTATCTAGATGGTTATAGTGTATAAAAGGTTATATTTTAATATGAAATCAGACCGATCCAGATCTAGTATTTTAGTTTATGTATGGGGATTGGAATTTTATCTGGGGTATCCAGTTATATGTTTATGGGATAATTGGGGTATTTATTAGATTTAGAGGATATTTATAATATAATGTATTATTTAAGTGTGTTTTTTATATTATTTTATTACTATATACCTGGCTAGTAGATAAGAATGAGGTATTGTTTTATACCACTAGATGACGTAGGAGGGAGTGTAATGTATTACTAAATATGATATTGAATTAGTTGACATTTGTGTGTGTATATATATTTGGATACACTATGTATCATTCTTATGGTATGAATGTACAGCAGAAAATACCTCTGTGTGATATGCTGCCCTTATTTGGGATGACGGTTCTTGCCCGTTTGGGATTAGTTTGTGATACATTTAGTGATATCTCTGTGCAAAGCATACAGCAGAGAACATCTCTGGAGGTCAGATTACCCTATTGTTAAACGGCGCTATCAGTCAGCAGAAGGGGAGGAGTAAGAGTATATAACTGGCCACTGGTCTGACGAACACACTCTTTCTGAAGAAGTCGAAAGTGACGAAATGCGTCAAGGACGTGATGTCGAACGTAGAGCGGAAGTTGCGAAGTGGCCATCTTGAGATAGGTTCTGTATGTTGAACGCTGGTACCGGGGGGGACACATGAGTTCTGTATCCAAGTGATATGTGATTTTTTCCTTTCTTATTGTAAGCATAATTTTAATAAATTATACCCATTTTAAAAGACATACTACACCATATGGTTTTGTGTCTGACCCATGTTATGGCGCCATGCGGCCCTTGAGAGCTGAAGTGATGTCGGATGAGGAAAGCCACTAATATTTATGCTTGCGGATTGTGCAGTCTGGTTAGGTGCATGGTTTGGAAGGTGGTGGAGAGTGGATTCACGTATGTACTCTCCAGAGCCTCAGGAAATGCACAGCCAAAAGGGAAGCCAAGGGAACCAGGACAGCGACAACCAAAGGAAATGCTTCAGGGGTGAAGGCCTCCTCAGATGGGGAGATCAGCCACTAGATAGAGAATAAACAGGTGGCACACACACCTAGTGCATTATTCAAGGTTTATTGAAAGGTATGAAAAGTAAAAACATACTCACAGACGAAGCATGTATCTAAAAAGTATTTGCATAATGATGATGGCCACAACAGCAAGCAAGGTGTTCTAACTGTCAGTGCGGTCAAATGGCTGACGTGTTTTGGGGATGAATCCCTTTCTTCAGAGCTACTGACCAGCTTCTGGTGCAGATGTGTAGTGGATGGATGATGGTGATGCCTGAGTGGGATGGTGTGGGAGTGTGCTTTATACCTATGGGGAGCCTTTCCTCATAGGTACAAAGCACACTCCCACACCTTCCCACTCAGGCATCACCAGCAAGGCTCCCATCATCCATCCAATACACATCTGCACCAGAGGCTGGTCAGTAGCTCTGAGGAAAGGGATTCGTCCCCGAAACACGTAAGCCATTTGACTGCACTGACAGTTGGAACACCTTGCTTGCTGTTCTGGCTATCGTCATTATGCAAATGCTTTTTAGATACATGCTTCGTCTGTGAGTATGTTTTTACTTTTCATACCTTTCAATAAACCTTGAATAATGCACTAGGTGTGTGCGCCAGCTGTTTATTCTCTATAGAGAGTGGATTCACATTGCACTAGTGCTGAGGAGGAGGGGAGCAGTTATTTATTTATATATATCAAAGGATATTACACTATTATACGTTCTTTCGGAGGTATCACTTATGGAGGGAAGGACGCCTTGGAGCACAGGTTCTTGTGGAACTTTGTTATGGAATGAGATTTAAAGCTATACACAAGTTTAGGTAAGAGTATTTTATACAGCCGTTTAGAAGTGGACATTGGGTGGTTTTTGCACACAATTAACACTGGGTTTTTGATTTGATTTTCACTTTATGATATAGGGATAATGCACTATGTAGATTTTCTTTTTGAGGTACACGTGGATTATGAAGGTGGATTGATTAGGAGCATGAATTTGTATTGATTGAGGATTGCACAGATGCTAAGAAAGTTTTTACATTCTTTGTATGTCTCAGAATCCCTTGCCCTGGGATACTCTCAAGACAGGCAGGTGGATGAGAAGATTTTCATCTGGGGTCTCAGGAGGTTCACTTAAGGGGACCAAGTGTTCCTTGCAAAGACTGTGTGCTAATCTGTCAGAAAGGAAGTGCTACTCCTGAAGGAATAGAGAGCTAGGATCCATTTGTTCTGTTGAGATGGATTCTTGCCATTTTCGTCTAAGAAGTTGGTCACCAAGTTGTTCAGTTCCATTGGGCATCCCATATACCTTTAGAGCCCATCCAATTTGATAACCCCTAATAAAACAACAAAAACCAAGCTCATGGACTGTTTATTGACTTTGGATGACAGTGTGGAAAATGTGTGTTGCCTGGCTGTGCAACACTTAGAGGGACCCCAAAAAAACCCAGTGGCCCTCAAGAGGATAGTGCTACATGTAGATTAATAATAATAATAATAATAATGTGTCTATGTCAAACTAAACATTTCAAGGGTGCATTGCTAACCACTGGGCCATTGAGCATTAATGGGATTATTGCGCTTCACTATGTGGTTATCATGAAGTATGACACAATGGGACATATTGTGAGGGTATTGCACCAGCATAATTATGCAACAGGTGTTTGATCATTACAATTAGCATGCATCCATAATGCCCTGAACAAACGGAAATCATCTATTACTATTAATATGTATGTATGCATATGCAGCACTGAAAAAAGAATTATTTATGATACTTGTTCTCTCTAAACATTGCCTGTAATAAAGGTTTATGTTCCTTTTCTAAGCAAACCTGCTAACTATAAAATATAGATACTAGATAGCACTCAGCGGACCAATCTAGATTACTGCCTGAATTCTGAGTTACAGCCTGATTGGGAAGTGAAGGCTTGTCTTCTTTTTATACATCTGCTAAACAAAAACATAAGAAAAACTAGAGATAATGCACATTCTATATTTTTTTTTGGTGTTTTATGGAAAAGGAACCCAAGCTAAACAGCTAAGTTCATAAATGAAATACTTGTAGTATATGCGAACGCTGCTACCTGTCAAAAATTAGTTCTGCTCAGCATGTCCTGTTTTTCTGCCTCCAGCAGGGAAATTTGGTGTTGTCTTCTTTGCAATATTAATTTCAATAGATGGAGTCAACAATAAATTTACTGTTTTACAAAAACTAGAGACTGTTGAGATAAGAGCTAAGAGTTACTAAAAATCACCTTCATTCTGAGAAAAGGATATGCACCCTAGGAGCTCAGACTCCATCTTAGAAACTAAGAGAGAAGGAACCAGCACATGTTGTGGACTAGACCTACATCCCCACAGGCAGTATCACTGGTGAGCATGGACTTATTGCCATCTGCAATTTAATAATTTCATTATGTTTGTATATTTCATATATTGATTATATGCAGGGGCGGACTGACAACTCATGGGGCCCCTGGGGCAATAGGGGATCATGGGGCCCCTGTGTCCTTGCCCAATCTCAAAGAAGCCTATGAAAAAAGTACCAGGGGTATCTCATGAGGCCCCCTACTGACCCCGGGCCCTTGGGCAGTGCCCGCGTTTCCAAATGGTCAGTCCGCCCCTGATTATATGTACTTCTTATCTGTTTCTAAAAGTTTCACCCACCCTGTTTTGGAAATAAAGCTTCAACATTACATTCAGTCTGGCTTATTGCAGAATTGGAGGGTTTAGCTGCATTTCGAGTTACACACAGGGAAAGCTGTAGTGAGGACAGAGCACCTGTGGCATGCTTGCCTGCCAGACAGCATACCATGGTTGGTGACCTCACTGTTCTTCCTTCATTTACCAGTTAAACATGGTGAAGAATCCACCCTAATGAATGCATAACTCTATTAAATGGTGGTCTTTTACATCTGCCCATAGTTCTTCTTAATACTGTGGACATTTTAAAAACGTTTTACCTGTTCTTTGTATGTCAATTGTCTTTATAATATCAGGTTTATCTGGTGCTTTCAGTCTTTAGCAGCCATTTTTTTTAGATATCGGAAACATCCTTATTACTAGGGATGGGTTTTGGGCTCCTTGCTACCATGGGATATTTCTTTTTAAACCATAATGCACTGAATGTCCTCTGAACTATGGCCCAAAGGCTTAGAAAATCCAAAAAAGCCAAATTCGCTCAATTGCGATCCATGTATAGGCTAGCTGATTGCACACAAGTCAATCAATCGATCAACTTGTGTACAACCAGCCTGTCAGGTTTTTTTCGAAACAGTCAGTGCTGCAACACTGATCATTGTATCGAATTCACACATCGAATGTGTGAATTAGGCAACTGGTTCATTTTTTCTGTTCAACACATGATTAAAAAATTAATCATGAATGGCTTGCTTAAAGACCTTTTGTTTTAAATTCCAGCTCCCCTAGGTACCAATATACCATTGATGTACCTTGGTTGCAGAAAAATAAAATCGTTCCTTAATTTTGAGAACAAGGCCTTTCCTTAGCCCTTGCTGTATTTCTTAGAAAGCTTC